TGTTATGTTATGTTATTCTCACTGCTCACCACAAATACAGTAACCCTTTAACATTCATATAACGAGGACATCAGAAGTCTTGACATCAGAATGCACAGTTCAATTAGCGATTATTATCAAGCAAGGCTTGTGACTACATCTACGTTAATAGGGTAGCTGCACATAAAGACAGTAATGAAGTGGTGGTACTTTGGCCTTTTTGTGTTGCTGTTACAGCGGCCTTTTAAGGTAATTCCCTTGAAAAGGATGTACTACCCAGATTTTTTTTTCAAACTTGGCACAATTGTCAGCCATATATAGGACATTCTAAAACTGCAATAAAAAGATGGGGTCACCATGCTTGTTTTCGCCCTGTGTGCCCGTGAGTGTTTTTCTCTCGTTGCGAGCGAAGTATTCGAAAGTTAACAACCGTCAAAATTGTTACCCTATTATTCATTGAGCAAATAAAATGAATCTTACCAAAACATAAAACCTGTTTTTCTGGGCTATGATTTTTCAGTAAGATGACTTCAAATTATTCGATTTGAAAAACTGGAGAAAAATGGAGAGTTTTAACATTATCTCATATTTCTCTGTGGCTCTAAATGTGTAGTTTCACGTCAGTCTTATCTAAAATTTACAACTTCCACTATCCAGATTTTTTCCTCTTTAAGATATATTTTTTGTGTGGCCCTAACGAGTAGAAAACTCGAATTAAAAAGCGGGCACCGTACTCGTTTCATGGCAAAAAGACAACAAAGGAACAATTTCGGCTTCAAATGATCATTTTGCGCGAAGGAAGTGGGGCGAGTTTCAAGAAAGACACCTTTTAAACCGTGTAGAGCTATCAAAGTCGCTCTTAAAACCCTTTTGACCACACGTGCGGTAAAAATCATTGCTACCTTTGAAGTCGCAATGTTATGCGCACTAGGCGACAGGCAGTGCAAAACAAGGGAATTTCCTTGAGAAATTTGAAAGATGGGAGAAACTGGTTTGATCCTGGTGTTTCTGTGCTTGTTTAAGCAAGAGATGAGACTTTCTCACGGTTTATCTGTTCGACCGTTCGATGTAACAACCCTCTACCCCCCCTCCCCCAAATTTTTTGGTCTTTCCCGGTTGAGAGATTTACAGCTGCCTATTAAATGCGAGATCATTTGCGTATGAAATTAGTTTAGCAAAATGGTCGAAGCGCCACCTAGCATGCAGTTACCATCAGGTTATGACGAGGACTTTGTGTTTGAAGTTGAAGATGATTGTCTCTGCTTAATTTGTCATCTGCCGTTGAAGGAGCCAGCTCTTACAAGATGCGGTCACAGATTTTGCAAAGTATATCATATCTCATGAGAAACTTCAAACAAGACGCTACATTGTAAATGACACTCTGTTTCTTCAGGTCGATGTAGAACCTGATGACTAGTTATCACAATGTTCCGTTTCTTTTCAAGAGAATCATGAAATAGTTTGATTAACAATACACTGGTCGAGAAATTCGACGCCTTTTCTACACAAAGAGGTTATTCACGTTTCTCTCAGTTCGTAAATGGCCATTTTGAGTATAATTCTCTAAGTATTCTGCACAACTTAGAACATATTTTACTTGAACTGGTTTAAAGCTTAATTTATAACCATTTGATTTGAATAAGCGCCCACCCTCTCAGCCAATCTAGAAAATACGTAAAGTACAACCTGTATGAAACGGTCACCCACTGTTTTAAAAGTGGTCACTTGCCCTTATAATTACTGTAAACTGGATTATATTAATCGGTAGCGATTACTTTTTTTCATTGTCCTCATTGTTATTAATAAAAGATGTACCATATTAGTGCACTAGTTACATTGTGCGTGGCGTTTAGTGGTCTTTATATTTTTTTTCTATTTGAGCAAAAAAAGAAGGAACCGTTTAGGCTGATCAAGCCTCTATTGAACTGTCAACTGATCTATTTTCAGCGGAAAGTAGCCTGATAGCAAGCTCTCCGGGACGCGCTGGCGGCGAGGCGGGAAAAGAAAGGAGAGGGAGCTTGCAACAACGTCTCTAGAATTTGAATATCTGCATCGAAAAAGTCGATACGAAATGCTGATTGGCGGAGATGACATTAGTAATGACGTCATAACTCAGCTGCTCGGCCGTTATCTGACAGCTCCGTCGACGGGGTGCCACAGGAGAAATCGAGGTTGAATTCAAATTCCAGAGAAGTAGTTGCAAGCCCTCCTTCGTTTGTTTTCCCGCCCCGCTGTCAGAGTGGCCCGGAGAGCTTGCTCACAGGCTAAGCAGACAGTTGCCCATTTAACAAACGTTCCCTTAATTATCTGCTCACCTCTGATAAATAGGATGGATGTGAAAGTCTCTTTCATTTCACGACACCATCTAGACTTCAATGTAGGAGAACAGTTTCTTTTCCGTTAAGCCAGTTACAAATACCTTTACCTACTCACGTTTGAGGTTATTTCCAAAGAATTAGCCTAAATATAGTTTCATCTCGTTGACGGGAAAACCAGATAAGCAATTCCTTCCTCTCTAGCTTCTCGCGACTAAGGGGCCTCCTGTGCGGAATAAGACTCATTCCTTTTTACCGAAAGTTTGAACAAACATCTGGACGTGGGTGTCATAATGTTTGGCCGGTCAGCATCACGCATCATCTGTATAAAATTAGTACGTCTGCAGTCAAACCCATTTTTTGTCGTATAGTTAGTCTGTAAGTCAGAGAAATGGACAGAATGGCCACAGCTAGAAGATCTTACCGTTAAATATCCTTCAAAACAACACAAAACTATACCTTTCTCCTCCACAGGCTCGGATTCAGGAATTTGATAACTCTCATCCTTTCTCGCGGCATTGCAGGGAAAATTTGAATACGCAGGTGATTAAGTAACATAATTCATGGTCAGGGCTTACTACATGTTTGGCGCCTTCACTTGTAAACAACGAATTGAATCATATGTTGTATGCCATCATTTTGTTTTAGAAATTTCAGTTTCAAAGTACTTTGACTAATGAGTAAAGAGATACAATCTGTAACTTGATGGCGCCTAAAGGGTTGTTCGGAATCCCTAGTACCAACCCATTGATCCCCCTTTGCTCTACCGCTTTTCAGAAAAACCGTTGTTAAAACTAATCCTTATAATTACAGAACACAACCAACCTTACTGTAAATAAAAGAGGTCTTTTTAAGCCCTAAAAATGTGCCCGTTTCGGTGAGTAAAATACCGTCGAGTCGTTCCTTTTTTGGGTAATGTAATTTGGCTCCCTTAATCTGGGCTGTCAGACCATCGCAACTCTTTCATAATTCATTTTACGATTACAGTGGCTCGAGAAATTTATCTTTCCAAATACGCCATGTACAAAGTGTGAGTGTCTTTCATGGCATCGAGATGAACTTGCATATCACGCCTTTGAAACTAATGAAATAAAACGTCATCATATACTTTATCAATTTGCTGTTTATGCCAGTTATAGTGTTATGTTATGTTATTCTCACTGCTCACCACAAATACAGTAACCCTTTAACATTCATATAACGAGGACATCAGAAGTCTTGACATCAGAATGCACAGTTCAATTAGCGATTATTATCAAGCAAGGCTTGTGACTACATCTACGTTAATAGGGTAGCTGCACATAAAGACAGTAATGAAGTGGTGGTACTTTGGCCTTTTTGTGTTGCTGTTACAGCGGCCTTTTAAGGTAATTCCCTTGAAAAGGATGTACTACCCAGATTTTTTTTTCAAACTTGGCACAATTGTCAGCCATATATAGGACATTCTAAAACTGCAATAAAAAGATGGGGTCACCATGCTTGTTTTCGCCCTGTGTGCCCGTGAGTGTTTTTCTCTCGTTGCGAGCGAAGTATTCGAAAGTTAACAACCGTCAAAATTGTTACCCTATTATTCATTGAGCAAATAAAATGAATCTTACCAAAACATAAAACCTGTTTTTCTGGGCTATGATTTTTCAGTAAGATGACTTCAAATTATTCGATTTGAAAAACTGGAGAAAAATGGAGAGTTTTAACATTATCTCATATTTCTCTGTGGCTCTAAATGTGTAGTTTCACGTCATTCTTATCTAAAATTTACAACTTCCACTATCCAGATTTTTTCCTCTTTAAGATATATTTTTTGTGTGGCCCTAACGAGTAGAAAACTCGAATTAAAAAGGGGGCACCGTACTCGTTTCATGGCAAAAAGACAACAAAGGAACAATTTCGGCTTCAAATGATCATTTTGCGCGAAGGAAGTGGGGCGAGTTTCAAGAAAGACACCTTTTAAACCGTGTAGAGCTATCAAAGTCGCTCTTAAAACCCTTTTGACCACACGTGCGGTAAAAATCATTGCTACCTTTGAAGTCGCAATGTTATGCGCACTAGGCGACAGGCAGTGCAAAACAAGGGAATTTCCTTGAGAAATTTGAAAGATGGGAGAAACTGGTTTGATCCTGGTGTTTCTGTGCTTGTTTAAGCAAGAGATGAGACTTTCTCACGGTTTATCTGTTCGACCGTTCGATGTAACAACCCTCTACCCCCCCTCCCCCAAATTTTTTGGTCTTTCCCGGTTGAGAGATTTACAGCTGCCTATTAAATGCGAGATCATTTGCGTATGAAATTAGTTTAGCAAAATGGTCGAAGCGCCACCTAGCATGCAGTTACCATCAGGTTATGACGAGGACTTTGTGTTTGAAGTTGAAGATGATTGTCTCTGCTTAATTTGTCATCTGCCGTTGAAGGAGCCAGCTCTTACAAGATGCGGTCACAGATTTTGCAAAGTATACCTCGAGGAACATTTGAAAAGGTACGCCTTTCTGACTTAATTCTATTGAATGTTGAGCGTTGGAGTAACTTTGATATTTTGATTAGTGGAGTATGAGCTCCAGCACTGTGTTCCTGTCAACATCTCAATTTTACGCAGGTTACGGACATTTCGTAAACGAACAAAGACGGACTTCATTTTTTTACTCAGACGGCAGTCGCCCCAGCTTAGTCGATTCAATAGTTGAAGGCCATGTCATTCAAAATGAGGAGAAATAAAGCTAAAAGATCTATTAATATTGAATAGATTCGTGAACTTTAGGAAGCACTTTATTGGTACAGTAGTCAGTTAAACTTGTTTCCTATTTATCAACTTTTGTAATGAGAAAAGTGTTTTTCCTTCCTCTGTTTGGAGATAAAGTAGCCATTGTACTGTGTCATGCATCACTCATCTATTCAGGAAATTCAGACAATCTGGTTACAAGTGATCCATGCATGGCAATAAATCATGTTCACTCTGGCGTAACCTGGCCTTTCCAAAAGAGCATAGCAGTTTATAAAATTTCTAACATAGATTACACGCTTCTGTGGATCTATCATCGAAAGGCCTGTGCTTAGTCGTTAAAAATTAGCTATTAGTAGTCGCCAGCAAAAAAAAAAAATATCATGGCGGATGTAGTTGGTTGCATGATTCCGGCTATTATGTGTCGAATAGGACAGAAACTTTGAGTTGTTCACAGCTAAGCTTTACAACTGGCAAACGTAACCTTATACGTAATTAACGGTTACTTTGCATATTTTTTTGTGTGTCGATGTGATTGGCCTTTTATACGTATGCTTAAATGCTTTTAAGCGGGAGCACTTCACTGACTGGAACAAAACTTGAGTTTAACTACATTTGAAATTAATTTCTTTAATTTAGACAAATTAGTTAACACTTTTTTAAAAACACACTAGCTTCTAACAGACTGGTATTGACCGCGCTCAGTTTTGATACGTAATTTGCATCTTTATCTTTTCATCTATTTATTTGTAAATTTATTCATTTACACATTTAAATTATTGCCTCTCACACCGACAAACAGACAAGAAGCTCAGAACCAGCCTTACACTTGTCCTGCAGATAGTGAAGGCCTGGACCGAGACCGGGTAAATAACTTTCATTTACCTTGTAACCTCTGTGTCTATTGCGTTTTGGTGTCGTCTATTTTTTTACTCAAAGCTTGCATGCAAAATGAAACATACAAGGTAAAACTACGAACAAACTATTTAATAGAACAAGACAGTCGCATACACGCATTAACATTTGTTTCTATTTAGGACAATGTGAGATTAATTTCACAAGTATTTCAGCAATTCGAAGCAAGGCCATTCTCGTCCCCAGAGCCCGTCGTTTCTTGGTCACGTGGTCTTGAAACGAAGTGTTCGTTACAAATTAAGCCGAGTGGCTCTGGGGACGAGAATGAAGCAAGGCCATTTTCGAATAATAATAATAGAATAATCGTCATCATCATCATTACCACCATATTCATAATAAAGATCTTACGTTCTAATCAAACGTTAAAGCTTACAATGTACTAAAGAAATATGAAAAAAAAAACTGTCCTTTGAGTCAAAGAGGCATCTATGAATTTTGACATTAAGAGAGCATTTTTTAAATTTCTCCGTGTTAAGACGTGTTCCACAGTTTTCCACGATCAATTTCTATTACAACACTTAAAGATTCATATTCGATTGATCTTGAACACTTCGTTTAATTTTTTTTCTTGTTGTACTTCAGGATGTATTTCCTGACAACGCAACAGGAAGGAAAATTTTGTCAATGGTGATCAAATGTCCAAGTGACGGTTGCTCGTGGACTGGTGAGCTGAGGAACAAAGAGGTAACAAACCAAGAGCATCAATTATATCCAAGGCACCGGGTTGATTCAGTTCGTGTCAAACATGATCATTTCCAAATTGAGTATACCCCAGTCTCTTTCACCAGCTTTTAAAACTTACTAAATCAAGTATTTTACTTTTTAATACAGCCCTACGTTTATATGTGCTACGCGTGCATTATGAAACGTGTGGAGGGGTGAAAAGGAAATGTGGAGAGGTCAAACGTCAGATTCGTACAGCCGGTTTGTAACTGGAATGCGTGTACAAGTCGACTTTTGTGCGCCTGAATCGTTTTAATTTCAGGACTAAGTGTACACCACAACCTAGACCGGAATCCGGGAAATGTTTGCTTGTAGAATCCGGAATCCGGGAAAATTTTGCTGGTGAAATTGGAATCTGGAAAACAACTCAAGGAATCGGCATCTGAATCGGGAATCCCACTAAAGCTTGAAATCCAGAATCCAAGTTCCACTTACAACGACTGTAATCCAGTACATGGAGGCTCAGTACTGTCTTGAATTCCCTTAGCATGGCGCGAGGGCCGGCTTTAGGCCCTCAAAAAGAATTCCCTTGGTACAACAGACAAACACTGGCTCTCCGTTTAGTTTTGCACTAGTGTTGTTCAAATAGGTATAGTAAACTTCTTTATGTTGTTATTCAAGCAGAGAGAGTACGACCATGGAGTATACCAGAAGCCATGCAAGCAATGACCACTACACAACCGCGACCCCAATTGCTCGTATCGTACCCTATACGCTTTCCTCTCTTAATTCTGCAAAATCTGTATTATTTCAAACAGGCTCACCTGGAAGCTTGCCCCTTCAAAATTGTTACTTGTACCAACGAAAATTGCCATGTGACTATAAAGCGGAAAGATCTTGAACAACACGTGACAAACACTTGTGATTGGAAGATCCTAAAATGTGAATACTGCAAAGAACCACATCCAGAGAGGAGCTTGAAGGTAAAAAGAATTGAAAATAACAAAACTACGCTTTCAACGAGGTCGCGTATTTTAAACGAAGCTTCCTTTTGCCGTAGTTTTTACAGCTGATGACCAGTGAAACGCCTCTTTCGTTTGATCTTGACTTAGCTCAGTTTTGAGCTAATATTAGCCTTTCACTGGCTTGTCCGCAGGTAGCACTGTTTACCTCAAACGTGGCTACACTGCAGTCAAATGCCCCAGGCAGTGTTTTTTCTTTTAGTTAAAAACGTTTCTTAAGTCAAGATCGTCCGTTGGGTCAGACGTCGAATAACTTAGGACCAGTCGAACTAATCAACTGAATCAGATCAGTAATTCACAATTATTGGATGAGGTTTCGCAAAATATAGTGATGTGTGATACACTGAAAAATCACGATATTTTGCGATAACCGAGTTTCATAATTCTTTTATTACTCGATCACGGAGTTTGTTTTTCAATTATTTGCGAAGCGATCTGCCAATTTCAAGCAGGAGCGATCGCAAGAAGGAGAAAAACGTGGTTTCACTTACGCATGAGCAGAATATCATTTGTATCCTAACACAGTTGGACGTCATTGCGCATGAGCAGACTATTATTTGAAGGCCGTCATTTACAGGTAACGTTGTGGGCTCTCGGCCAATAAAAAGGAAGAAAAATCTGCATCGAATGATAATACGGTTTATGCAAAATTTGGCCCGAGAGCGGTGTGTGGGAGTAACAGACTGTATTACTATGGGGGATTGGAAATCAAAGAATTGAGAACTGCTTAACTTTCACGGCCTGAAAAAAAATGACGTTTTTCAACCCAAGTGCAAAAGGATAAATTAGGTATTTGTCTTCTTGCAGGATCACTTGGATAACTGCAGCAAGTTTCCACTTCCTTGCCCTAACGACTGCGGAGATTCAGTTCTCAGAGAAATGGTAACTGCATTTCATTTTAGTATGGGTGACTTCACTGATGGTAGAGTAAAGTATCTTCGCACTATGCAGCTACGGTTTCTCTTCTTGTTTGAAAAAAAAATTGAAGTTATCTCCAGTCTTCTATGAGACAACAAAAGTCTCTTGACGTATACTTACTTACATCTTACTTCCGGTCGACGCCTAAAAAACGACGGGAAGAAAACTAACCCCATGGAGCTCGATCTCTCATACAACTTTTAAGATCTTGAACGTTCTAAAGACCAGTATCCCCAGCAGTGTGTTTAGGTATGTAGCTGTCGTACTTCCTCTTGCAGCCCTTCCTTGTGCAGGCACCCATGTTATCAGCCGTTGCACTGGAGAACTCTCATCGCGAAAAACATTCTCCAGAAAGAGCGATTCTTCTATTTTGAATGGTAGAGGTCACCTCTTTTCGCCCCTTTACCGCTTTGACTACCTTAAAGCTCGCTGTTTTTAACCTTGTCCTTCCATTATATGTTTTTTACCATTTGCAGCATTCTTGTATAAGTTGCATCCAGGCTTTTTTCTTCGGCTTGACGCATGGATAAATACGAATCACACGTGAACAACGGAAACAAGTCTTAGTCCTTCATCAAGTGCTATACTAACCGGATCGAGCATATAGAAAATGTAGGATTGACTGTGACTATGACCTTTACTTTACATTCAGACTTGATCGACATTTTCAAAACTGCTGACTTGATAAAAAGCACTATCATGATGAAAGTTATGCTAAGCACTGGGTCGTGTCTCACCAATTATCAAAATTCATACTTAGGTCCAAGGCTGCGGGGTTGAGTCTCGGGGATCACTAATTCATTTCTTTTGTTCTATTCCTCTTAGCCTCAAGGCCAAGTATGAATTTTAATCTTTTAACAATTCGAAACTGGCCAATTGAAACGGTTCGCTTATTTGATTTTACCATTTTCTTTTAGATTCCAAACCACATTGGCAGCGTCTGTCCCTTGTCTTTAGTGTCCTGCCCGTACGAAGAAATGGGATGTATTGAAAAGGTTTGCTCTTAATCAAATTAATTCTTAATTTTAGAGGATTGAAAACATAATACAGTAAACACCATTTTGTATGCGGGTGTTTACTGTACGTTGTACATGAGTAACAACACCAACGGGAAACTTCTCAATTCGGACCACTTTCGGTCTGAGTTATCGGGCAAAGCCTTTCGTCATGGCACTAAGAAAATTACTAGGCAAACAAAATTTCATAAGGCATGGGATTGTAAATATACGCTCTAACTAAAGATCATTTGTCTTCTTTCTACAGTTTCAGCGCAAAAACGTGGATTCACATCTTCAATCCGCCATGCGTGAGCATCTTGACTTAGCATGTGTTAAACTTAACAACACACAGGTTCAGTTAAGAAATACCCAAGAAACAACAAGGAAACTTGAGGAGAAATTTGAAGCTCTTCAGAGGCAACTAGCAAAGAAAGTGGATACTGATAAAGGGGGTGGTAACAAACGGTTTATTTGGAAGCTCAATCCGGGTCCTCTGCGTGTGGGAAGAAGAAATATCATGGGAGTAAAGGAAAGTAATGAATTCTACACTGGATGTTATGGCTACAAATTAAAAGTGAAACTCCTTCTTGATTATCATTGTGGACCTTTAAGTGACTGGACTTTCAAGATTGTCGTCGTTTTGATGGAAGGTGAATACGATGACCTATTACCCTGGCCTTTTAGCAAGAAAATAACGGTCACACTGATTGATCGAAACGAGGATCTCAAAGAAAGGAAAAACATTACAAAATATTTACGCCCAAATGGACATGTGCAGGGAACTATATTCTTCGGAAGACCCGGAATTCAGTATTCGGAGCTACGCAGTGAGATACCGCGTTTCTCATCTTACTGAGAACTTCAAACAAGGAGCTACTTTGCAAATAACACTCTGTTTATTCAGGTCGATGTAGAACCTGATGACTAGTTATCACCTTATTCCGCCGTTCCTTTTCAAGCTAGTGAATCCACAGGTCTAGAAATTAGAGGCCTTTTTTTTTTTGGAAGAAAGGGTTATTCACACTGCACCGACACCGAGTAACTAAATTACTCTTTTGAGTTTTGAAGCTACGTCTTTAACCCTTGAGTAATCTCCACAGTCCAAAGTTTAACAAATTGGGGGCCTTTTTTTAGGATTATTCACGTTTCACTCGGTTAGTATTCTCTGCTTACTGCTGATGAGAAGAAGTCATCAACTGACTCTGAACTGATTTAAAGCTAAATTTGCACTGATCGTTTTCTCTTGAATATGCGCCCACCCTCGTAGCCAGTTTAAAAAACTGTATGTAATACAAAACCAGACAGTGTATTAAACGGTCAACCACTGTTAACTTTATATAAGCGGGTCCTCTAATAAACCGTCTATTTTTAAGTTGTATCATATTAGTGCACTGATTACATTGTGTGCGGCGCTTAAAATAGCCTGCGTAGCAAGCGTTTCCGCGCGAGTTCATCGACAAAGTTGGGACGAGAGCAAAAAAAATTTTGTTCTTGCTTCCGCTCTAACTTTGACGCAATAACTCGATTGGAAACGCTTACTGCGCAGGCTACGCTTAAAATGGCCTTTTTTTCTTTACGTTTTGAACAAAAAGAGTATAACAAAGAACTTAGGTTGGACGAACCTGTACTGAACGGTCAACTTGTTTTTAGGTTGGTTTGACTGGACCCCTCTTCTCCAATTGTCCTATAACTTTTGGTAAATAGGATGGATGTTGAAATGAAAATCTCTTTTACTTAACTACACCATCAATATAAGAGAACAGTCTCTTCTTCCTTAAGCCAGTTACAGATATTATTACCTACATTCGTTTGAGGTTATTTCAGTATGAAGAATTGGCAAAAAAATAGCTTCATCTCCTTGATGACTAAACCTTATAAGCGCCTCTCCCCCCTCCCTCTCGAATAAGCGCGATTCATTACGGTGTTGAAAATAATTTTCATTTACTTGATAGCAAATAAAAGATAAAGGAAAAGAAACCGGGGGAGGATTCAACAAAGTGATTTTGGTGAGTGAAATTAAACAAACCCTCTAGTTTGGATGAGTTCTGGATGACTTAGGAATCTAAAACCGGACTTTTGGATTAAATTATTAACTAATCCACAAGTCTGGTTTTAGATTCATAATCAGTGAGATTTTCTGATTTTCGATAGAGGAAAAATGGAATTTTGGGAATTGAAAAACCGGATTTGTAAAATAATAAGCTGAAAGAAGAGTTTGGTACCCCTTCCACCAATCTACTCCCTTACCCTTTGCAATGTTACTCACGGCAAGATCACTTTTTTAAATCTTCTCCTGGTTTCTTTTCCTTTATCTTTCATCTCCTATCGTATAAATGAAATTGTGTCGGCTTCGAGTGTTTTGATTGGCCATAGTAACGCCGTTACCTCTCAACACTTTCTTTGTGTGCAGCTACAACCTCCTTGACATAGATGAAGTCACCATCCTTGACGTTTTCGTTTTCAGTTTTTATGTTGCTTTTATATTAGCAGCTTATATTGCGGTGGTTTAAGATATTTGAAAGAATGAGAATACAGGCCTTATCCTAGTTTTCGTGTGCTTTTCTGCGCACGCAAATGGATGCTTTTTCGCGTTTGTCTACATTAGACCGTTCGATCGACCCCACTCACCACCCCTAAGAGATCTCTTTAGTCCTTCTAAGTCGCGAGACTTGTAGCTGGCGATTAAATTCCATTCGAGGTCACTTACACAGAAAATTGTGATCTGAAACGTTTCGCTTTCGTAACATCTTGGTGAAGGAGATTGGCGCAACATGACGGAAGCTCTACTCAACACTCAGTTACCTTCAGGCTACGACGAGGAGTTTGTGAATGAAGTTGAAGATGATTTTCTTTGCTTAATTTGTCAGTTGCCGTTGAGGGAGCCTGTTCAAACAATATGCGGTCACAGATTTTGCAAAGCATGCCTCGAGGAACATTTGAGAAGGTACGCCTATCTGACTGAGTTCTCTTGAATGTTAAAGCTTTATTTCCACTTTTAATACAAACTCCCGCATCGTGTTTCAGTAAACAACTCGCGTACGGACATCCCAATACGAAAGAACTCATGCAGCTCTCATTTACCAAGTCAAACGACCGTCGCCTCAGCTTAAGGATTAATTTTATGGAGGCCATGTCTATGAACTTTAATTTAGTAAGCTTAAATATAGGAGAAAGAAAAGCTGATACAGTCGTGCTCTTTACTGACCAGTTCAGTTAAGCTTGTTTTCTATTGATCAACTTTTGAAATGACTAGATGGTTTTTCCTCTGTTGGAGACGGATAAGTAGCCATTTTTCGATGTCAATGATCAGTTCAGGAATGCGGACAATCCGGTTTCACGTCATTGATCTATGTATGACAATCAATGATGGTTGCTATTGCGTACTAACCTGTAGCCTTCCAGAGCATAATAGTTCACAGTATAATTAGTTTTCAGTCTTAAACGCAAAGAGTTCTTATCTCTAGTTCAGTGCTATAAGATAGTTTTTGGAATAGATAGCTTTCCTTTTTCGGACTTTTTTGAACTAGAGCCAATCACGATTATAAGCTCTATGTAAAGTCACCATCATAAATTGCTACAAATATTCTTCCTTTGTACGGATCGTTAATGCGTGGAATAACTTGCCTAAAGATGTTGTACACGCAGGATCGCTGACTTTATTTCGCAACAGATTAAGGATTTATCTGAATATTTGGCTTGATACGATTGTAAATGGTTTTAATTATGATATGCAAACGATGTTTTTTTTTTCTAGTTTTAAGGTTTTTAGATTTTTCTAAAAAAAAGTGAAACGAGCGAACCTTATGCGTAGTTTATGAAAATTTTTTATTAATTTTTCAGATACAATGTGATTGGCCTAAAATTACACTTTGAACATATTTCCTAACACAGACTGTGTATTGACAGCGCTTAACCAATTTTTTTACAAGTAATTTGTATAGGTAATAGCATGATTTGTAGTGATATTTGGCATAAATACCACGAGTGATATTTCGAAATTGTTATACGTAATTTCACGAGCCCTTAGGCGAGTGAAATTTGAGACAATTTTGAAATATCACGAGTTGTATTTATTTCAAATATCACGTACAAATCATGCTATTATTTGTTTATACTACTACCCACAAAAAGTTTGTAATTTTCACATGTAGGTATTTCAAATTAAGCTGAAATATCACTGCTCTAAGCCAATCAGATTGCAGAAATTTCTCATGTAGTAGTATAAGCATGTTAATTTTTCATCTGTTGAGTTATATTTTTATTAATCTATTTATTGATTTATTATTATTACTTCTTAAACTAAAAAACAGACAAGAAGTTCAGAACCAGCCTTGCACCTGCCCAGCAGATAGGGAAGGCCTGGACCGAGATCAGCCGGTAAGTGACTATCATTTGACTTTACGTGTGTGATGTTTTTTGGCCTTATTTATCATTAAAGCTAACATGCAAATGACACTTACAAGGTAAAATAATCGAAACGAGCCGCCACTAAATGAAAAAAAAAAAAGACAGTTGTTCAAAATATTTGCCGTTCAGGAAATCGTGGCATTAATCATCATCATCATCATCATCCCTTTTACTTAAACATGACAAGATTGGAGTGATGTAAGAAAAATTACAACAAAGGGAGATAATAAAAATAAGGATAAATTACATACAATATAAAACTACAATAAAAAACTCTCAAAAGACTCAATATGCATAAGATTTAAAATGAATTTACAATATTAGCTATCAAGCACTTAAGGGTAATGTGCTAGAGCATTTAAAATAGAATAGTTAAAAACATTTAAAATCATGATATATAGTGCCCGCCTATGCAACGACTGAACAGACTGTGCGCTAGAGTCAAGTTCCTATATATGCACATCTGTCTGATTTCGTTAAAATGTGGCTACTAGGTTTTCGCCTAGCGCCGGGCGCAGCCCGGCTCCAGGCCAGCCCGGTGTCCAAAAGAGGGGGCTTGGCGTCTTGGTCGGTACAGCTGGATAGCCCAGGAACTGCCCTAACAGTAGGTGGGTGGATCAGGCCTTGTGGTCAAAACTAGTGGGGTAGGGAGGGGGCTGTTTTGACAAAACCCCTTCAGTAAGCAGCAGTGTTTAGTGGAGGCTTTGACTGGCGAGTACCTTGGTCTTAATTTGCCCTAGCCAGCTGAATCAGGCCTCTGCTGAGAATGATTATCATGATAATTGCAGAGCTCAGTGAAAGGTGCAAACAGTCACAAATTGTCCTGAGTGGGGAGAGTCAAAGTCTTGGTACCAAGGACACACTTAGCATAGGACCTTTAGACACTCAGTGACGCCATGTTGTCATAAATCCAGACAGATATAAGTCGTTCTTAATTTCAGAAAAACGGTCCTTTAATTCGAAGACATGTTTCATAATTTCATATCCCATTCTTTTGCAATCTGCTAAATCTGTATTGCATGTTTTATGTACCCAACTCTGAAAGCTTTTTTCTGTAGCCCCTCAAAGTAACTCGCCGGGTATTTGACGAGAAGTCAAGACCATTTTCAGGACATGTGTTAACACAGGTGTATATAGATCGAGACGATATTCCCACCCTCATAACCAGAAGGGACAGAAAGTGATATTGTCCAGACCGGCAGAAGCCGGAAACGGTTCTTTGGGTCTACGTAACAGCTAATGTAAAAGAACTCTATGAATCATATTTTTATTTGATTGATCTTGAGTTCTTCGTTTAACTGATTTTGTTCCTTGTTGTTCTATAGGATGTATTTCCTGACAAGGCAACAGCGAGGAAAATTTTGTCAATGGTGATCAAATGTCCAAGTGACGGTTGTTCGTGGACTGGTGAACTGAGAGACAAAGAGGTAAAAAATGAATAGATTATTACTTCCAAGGTGCAGGTCTTTTCAAGCACGCTTCTTAAGTCTTGCACTTAAGAAGCGCTTTCTTTTGTTCCAAAAAATTTGCATATATGCTGGCCACGTGAGTGAAAACATAGAATTAACCGCCAGTAGCTATAACAAAAATTTAATGTAATAACAGAAATGTGCACGTGGTAGCAAGGATTCTGACTGTATGCGCCTGAATCGTTGTTTTAGGACAGATGATTCAGCAGAATTACTTCACAACGTTCTGTATTCCTCAAAAAAAATTCCCTCGGTACGCAGTCAAATCTTCTCCATACCTTACGTGTTTTGCATCATCTTTCTGCAAATCAGGGAATACGACCAAAATTTGAAGTCACTAAGTAGTCACCAAGGAATCTATCGCTCTTCCACCTGCTCTTACTCAAAGTAAAATTCCCTACAAAATTGAATACCTTATGGTTATTATGTATCTCTTTCACTAGGAAAGCGTCGTGGATACTTAACAAGGAGAAGTAGTCCATAACTGATGCAGACAATTTTCAACTATTTGTTAACAAAAACGAACGGAATTTTAGCTTATTTTCCCCAATGACGTCGAAACAAAGACCCCTTTTCCCCTTGTTTGTTTGGAACTCAATCACATCTTTTCCTTTGATTCTCACATTTGCTGCTGTTTCGAACAGGCTCACCTGGAAGCTTGCACGTTCAAAATGGTTGCTTGTACCAACGAACATTGTCTTGAGCAGGTGAAAAGAAAAGACCTCGAACAACACGTGACAAACACGTGCGAATGGAGGATCATAGAATGTGAATACTGTGAAGAACCACACCCAAAGAGGCACTTGCAGGTAAACAAAACTAAAAACAACAGACCCTATTTTCCACTTCGCGTATTTTGCAAGATGCCTCTTTAACCCTCCACAATAGATTTTAACAGACGAGCTGAATGCCTCTTTCGTTTGATCTTTGACTTGGATGTGTGAGTGAAACTTTTCACTAGAAGTGCCGTGGACGTCTGTGGCTGCATTGCAGTGAAACGTCCCGGGCAGTTATTTCTTTTATATATATTATGGTATTTCGTAAAAAAAGAAAACAAAAAGCAAGTATAGGTAGCATTCTGCTTTCATTTCTCCCACATTGAATGCCTTTACTTGGGAATACAGCACCGCCCATGCTCATGAAGACGATTAGTTAGTCAGCATTACGCCATTTTCAAACACAACAGAGCCGAAAACATATTGCCCAAGTCACAGACTGTGAAAAATGCCATCTCAGGTATCACTTTCAGGAGGAAACTGAGTGTATTATGTGGAATTGAAAAATAGAGAATCGGGTGGTGAAATTCTGAAAAATTTCTCTCGGTTTAATTTTATACTGCCTGAAAAAAACTTGTTGATGGTTTTCAGTTTAAGCGCAAATTACAATATTTGTGTGTTGCAGGTTCACCTAGAAAATTGCAGCAAGATTCCACTTTCTTGTCCTAACAGATGTGGAAAATTAATTCCTAGAAAAATGGTACATGCACTTCATTTCAGTTTAAGTGAGGTCATTGATGGTAGAGTAGTGGTATATATCGCAAGCGTGGCTACTGTCTGGTACCAGCGAGTAAGGCTCTTAGCAATGTCTCTGTTTTCACAAGTTAAAAGCGATCTCCCTTATAAATAGACAACAAAAAGTCTAAAACGTCTTAGCTAATACATATATATATATATATAAATGAATATACCTAAATATATAAGTAAATAATAACACAAATTATACGCGATGAGCTATACGATATGGTGTCAGGTCGTAGTCCTTGATGCGTTGTGATTAACCAAAGCGGCCGAAATAGAGGCTTGAGCGGGATTAGGATCCCGAACTTTAAAACACTTTTCTTCAGAAGTCATCCTTGGAGATCCAGGGGCAATCAGTCGGGTCAAAAGAAACGGCGCTACGAGAATTTTCAAGTAAAGGCGGAAGAGCCCTTTCCACCCGTGCTTAGAAACGTTTCCTCTTGACCCGACTCAGTGCCCCTGGACCTTTGCGGATGATCTGATGATCTGATGATCTTTGCTTAGCATTGGGTCTGTTTATTAAGTCAGTTTGCTTATTTAATTTCATTATTTTCTTTTAGGTTCCAAACCACATTGATAACGACTGTCCCTTGTCTTTAGTCTCCTGCCCTCATGCTCAAATAGGATGCACTGAAAAGGTTTGTTCTTGACCATTAACTTTTTAAATTTATTGTGAAAGCTAGTTTACAGGCACTCCACTAAAAAAATAATTCGTTACAAATAATAATCCAAATAGAACATAACAAGATAAAAAAAAACCACAACAGGCTGCACACGACCAATTGGCGAGGAACGACCGAGAACAAATCCAGCTACAGCTGTAGTGGCCATAGAAAGACTTAAAAACACTTACTGGGTTAACATAAACTTTCATATGCATTAGACTACAAAATCTTTCTTAGTTAAATTGACTCTTCGTTGAGCTACACACCTTTTCTTTTTCCTTTTTGTCTTCTTTTCTCTTCTTTCGTTCTTTTTTTTTTTTTTAAATTAATCCAGATTTTCATTCAGTACCCTTAACTTGTATGGTTTACCCTATAGTTCCAGGAGGCCTATAGTTTATAAGCCCCCGGCTTCTATATAGGCTTCCTTGCCTTTACCACATTTGATCTTGTAAATAATTTAGTTGGAATATTGTATATTATCTGTAAAGTATTTCTGTATACTGTTGTCGTATTTCTGGTTAATGGCAAAATAAATGATTGAATGAATGAATGAATCTATAAGCTGTTTTCTGAGGTAATCTGTCGTCTTTCTCCAGTTTCAGCGCAAAAACGTGGATCCTCATCTTCAATCAAACACCCGAGAGCATCTTGACTTAGCCTGTGTTAAACTTAACAGCACACAGGTTCAGTTGGATGAGACACGAGTTCAGTTGGATGAGACACGAGCTAAATTAAACCGTTTAACCCAGGATCAGTTAACAATCATAAAGGAATCTCAAGAAACAAAAATAAAATTTGAGGAGAATTTAGAGGCACTTCAAAAGCAGATAAATACTATGCTCGTGAAAATAAATGCAAATAGTGCGGGCAATACACTTTTTAAGTGGAAAATTACATCTTTTTTGAGTGAATTTATGAAGCTAAAAAACAGGGAGGGGCATAAAACGATAGAAAGCGATCCATTCTACACTGCATTTCGTGGATACAAATTAAAAGTGTTTGTCGATCTTAAGTACAGCGGAACGTATGGTCGACAACTCTCGATCGGTATCAGATTAATGGAAGGTGAATATGACGACCTATTACCCTGGCCTTTCTCGTTGACAATAACGTTCACAGCGTTTGGACGAAATAGGTATGAGAATAAAGAGGTAACCGTTGTAAGACAATTGAGCCCAACTAAAGAGAATTTAAGTTTCCCATTATTCTCGCGGAGACCAAGAGGAGGTTCGACAGCTGATGGCTGGGTAGAGAGTTTCCTAAACTTATTTAATCTTCAAGATGGGTGCTACATTGTAAATGACACTCTGTCTCTTCAAGTCGATGTAGGAAGACCTTATGCCAACCTAAACTGTTCAACGCCTGGGTCTAGAGGGTTACCCGCGTAGCTACAGAACATGATTTATTGGCTACAGCCTCCGCAAAGAGGATGGACTGGGCTTGGCACAAATATAAAAGAACTCATGGTCCTTAACATTTCATTGTGTTGTTAGCTGTATATGTCACATAACTATATTTTTTTCTGAAAATCTTAAATAATTGACAAATCGGTGACAGGTCTTAAAAAAGAAAGCAAGTAGAAACATTTTTCTGCTTCATATTAATAAGTGACTGTCTATTTCACTGTAATAAAATTTTATAAGGGCAAACATCCTTAGAAATGCTAAATTTTAATCTTAAATTACTCAAAACTTCAATTTTAAACTTCAAGTATATTCATTCCAAACGTAGAAAGTAAAGATTTCTTATCAGAAACACCAATTTATCCATTTTCCCTTTCAATTTTTTTACCTCTTTCATGTCACGTGACCATGATAATTATACTTTAAGGCACAGGAAAACCAACCGATTTACATCTACCCGCGGGTTAATGGTCATCTTGTTTTATGCACCCTAGAGGGAGAGATTGCTATAAGTTTTTGTAATTATGCAAATAGTTGTGATTTCCAGAAACTGGAGGCTTCTTGTGAATAGGTTATTCTAGGCGAGGATATCGTCTCTTGGTTATGCACCTACGTGGCCATTTTGATTTTCTTAAGGACTTGCAGAAAAACTCAGCAACTGACTCAAATAGAACTGACTTAATGTTAACTTGTAGCCTAAGGAGAGACGGAGATGCCCCTCGTCTCGCTTAGGGGGTGTAAAGTTTTGGATTTTTGGTGTTTTTTCATGGGGTTCTTGGAAAAACGTCAATATTTTGTCTTCAAGATCTCGTTTAGGCTTGCACGCAAAAAAACATATAGAAATATAAATTCTACTTTAGTATATGGCGTGTTTTAAAGGTCAAACAACCCCGAGGCACGCCGGGATTGGCCTCTTTTAATTCACGGCGGGTGTAACGATTAAAAATTTGTACCCTTTTTTGAAAATAAATAGAGGTCAAAAGTTCATAAAACAGCTAGTATTTTCAAGCTGCTGCACCAATGCCTTTTTTTCAAATCGAATTTTTATATAACCAACTCTCACAATTGGAATTGCTGAAATATTACTCATTGCACTAAACGGCTTTTTAGTATATTTCTATTTAGTACAATAGTGGCTGCATGTTAGCGATCAGAGGAACACTCATTGCAAAATTGATGGGAAAACATAGACACTGAAAATACTGAGAGAAATCAGCAAAATTAAAAAACTGAACAAGTTAGGATAGCTGTTGTTGTAAAATCGTACAAAATAATACATCTTTAAATTATATGTCATAGTCACCATGAAAAATTCTTGAAAATTTCCTTTCCCGGTTCTCAACAAAGGTGACCTTGATAAAAATAGTATTATCCTTGATAAAGCTGCGTGCATACAAATCCTTGTGAAACACGAACTCCCACACGCCACAGGCAGGTTCCGACGATTGACTTGGTCTTGCTAATCCTCCAGCATTAAGCTGTAGTTCTTGTCTTAAATGTCTTCTTTTCTCGACTAAATAATATTGATCAAGCAAGGTAAACATCACTGAGTCTTGAAATGGCCATAAAAGAAGTCCGTCATACTCTCCGACCAGAACCCTGAGGTAGATTGACATAAAATTCCCTTTTTCCTGATCAAGGGTGTCATTGGTATGGTAACCATCAGGGTACAATTCCAACACAAATTTGTAACCATTACGAGATGAATAGAACGGTTCACTAACTATCACCCTTTGTTCGTTTCTTTGAGCAGCCGCCATGACCGATGAAAAGTTCGATATTTTCCAGATAAAGGGGCAACTCTGTAAGCGTTCCAACTTTTCTTCAAGAAAAGATATCTTCTGAGCCTGTTCTTCAATTGTTTTGGTCATGGTAGCAACTCCTTTGCAAGCCAAGTGAAGATGAGAGTCTTTCATGGCGTCAAGATGAGCTTGCATATCACGCCTCTGAAACTAATGAAATATAACGTCACTATATACTTTATCAATACGCTGTTTATGCCAATTACAGTGTTATGTTTTGTTGTCCTCATAGCTCACCCCTAGTACAGTAGTTTAACCTCCATGTGAAAAGAACATCAGGAATTACCGCAAAGTGCTATTAATTTCAATTTCTATGCGATGATCTATATGTTTATGACTTAAAGTAATTATTAGACAAGCATATCTGAATGGTATAAATCATTGTAAGCAAATTTCGCTGATTTGCGGTGATCAACTCCCTCAGTGTAACCATTCAAACAGTGAGCCTTTATAAATCCACTAGGCCCTGCCCTAGATTAATTCTACAGTGTNTCCTGATCAAGGGTGTCATTGGTATGGTAACCATCAGGGTACAATTCCAACACAAATTTGTAACCATTACGAGATGAATAGAACGGTTCACTAACTATCACCCTTTGTTCGTTTCTTTGAGCAGCCGCCATGACCGATGAAAAGTTCGATATTTTCCAGATAAAGGGGCAACTCTGTAAGCGTTCCAACTTTTCTTCAAGAAAAGATATCTTCTGAGCCTGTTCTTCAATTGTTTTGGTCATGGTAGCAACTCCTTTGCAAGCCAAGTGAAGATGAGAGTCTTTCATGGCGTCAAGATGAGCTTGCATATCACGCCTCTGAAACTAATGAAATATAACGTCACTATATACTTTATCAATACGCTGTTTATGCCAATTACAGTGTTATGTTTTGTTGTCCTCATAGCTCACCCCTAGTACAGTAGTTTAACCTCCATGTGAAAAGAACATCAGGAATTACCGCAAAGTGCTATTAATTTCAATTTCTATGCGATGATCTATATGTTTATGACTTAAAGTAATTATTAGACAAGCATATCTGAATGGTATAAATCATTGTAAGCAAATTTCGCTGATTTGCGGTGATCAACTCCCTCAGTGTAACCATTCAAACAGTGAGCCTTTATAAATCCACTAGGCCCTGCCCTAGATTAATTCTACAGTGTTTGTAATTCATTTTCTAATAACCCAACAATAGATTTGCTAATAATCTAATATTATTTAAAAAAAATAAAACAAGCAAAATTGACCAAAACAAACCGGACCAAATAAATCTCTTACCTTAATTGCACAACCCAAGGCAACATAGTCACAATCGATTACGGTCAGCGGACAAAGTCGTTCGGTATGGTCAAGCAACTGTTGAGGAAGAATATGTTTGAAATTTTCTACCCGTACTTTATCCCGTACAAGTACTACAATCTCGGTTAGGTCCTTCCTTGCCGTGAGTCAAAGAGTAACAAAAGATACTCATTTTCTAGCGGTGAGAGCTGTTCATGATTGCAGAGGGGGCTGTATCGAACCAACCTACACAAAATCGCTGATACGATGCGATTGCGTTTAAGAATACGCCAATTTTGTGCTCTTGCAGAGAGGATGCCAGCTAAAAACCTAAACAACTTAATTTCATGCATGCACAATGAGGAGATCTAATTATAAAGAGGGTGTGAAAATTAGTAAGGATTATGAACGGAAAAACAAAACTGGCCGCTCTACCACATTCATACTGCTTGACCGTGGATGCAGAATCCGCTCTCCACAGAGGGCAACGAGAGTTTCGCACTCGTAGGAGAACTAGCTGCAGTCGGGCTGGAAGACCGAAAAGTTCCATCGATCTTTTTCTTTCTCTTGATCCTCATCCTCGGAGACCCAGGGGCAGTCAGTAGGGTCGGAAGAAAAGGCGCGACGAAAGTTTTCAAGTACGGGCGAAAGAGCCCCTGGGTACCGACTCTCACCGAACGATTTCCAAAAATTCAAGAGTATGATTGATCCTTAATTCTATCGATTTCCGCTAACCCCCAAGGGGCCTCCAAAGAAATGAAAAAGGTATATTTGAAAGGGGCCTGGGTATATCAACCTTTCCCAGTGGTAGAATTGAAGATTTGATATCGAGTCAATAGTTTACCTCTTCTCTTGGTACGTTCTTCACTCCACATTTATTGCTGCACTCGACTGGAAATTTCCCACAGGTTTCATTATGCGCCTAAACAAGAAAACAAGAACACAAACGGGACGTAGTGTTGGAAATAAGACTCGTGGGGTGCAAGATACGTATCTAAATTGTTACTCATCAACCATTAACATCATCATCATCATCATCATCATCATCATCATCACCATCACCATCACCATCACCATCACCATCACCATCACCATCACCATCACCATCACCATCACCATCACCATCACCATCACCATCACCATCACCA